TGATTGTATTTTAAAAAAAGAAATAAAATTAAATGCACCTCAAAATATACATTGAGAATGCTTCTGGGCTAGCAATTAATACTTAATAGTTCGTATTAAAAAAATGATAGAAATCACTGATCAAGTTCACGTTTCACTTCCACTTTTCTGCGAATTTGTTCAGCAGACATTTGTAGCACCGAAGTGAGATCGCATACAAATCGATACACGTATCGTTTACCGGGTGTTTTATGAATAATATTTTTATCGTAATAGTATCTTAGACCACGTGAAAGTTTTTCATAATTCATCTAGAAAAAGATAGCAATTTAGTCAATAGTTATCATGATAATTATCAAATTTTACAATATCTATACTTGCAAAATTAAATTATTTAATGATTGAATTCTTGTCATACTTCGTTTTTCTTTTTTCATTTTTTCATCTTATTCATTTTTTTAATTTTGAATAATAAAAATTCTCCTTCTTTCATTTTCCATCTTTCTTCATTTTTTTTTTCAAATTTGAATAATAAATTATCACTTAAACAACCTTTGGTTTATTTTTACGAATACCCCATTTACGTGCAACTTCATCAGGATCATTCAATTTGAATTCCCATCCATCACCCGTCCAAGCAATGCAAGAATTTGCAGATTCAGTCATCAGAAGCTCCAACAAAAATTGCCAAAGTTGAATGGGACCTGAATGAAATAATTTGCATTTGATAATAATATACCTGTATAATTATCATATGTAAAATGTACATTTTGGAACACATTTGTATAAGAATGATGAAAATTTTTGAAAAAAATAATAAAATAAAGTTCTGTTTTTTTTCTCATTTTTGCACCGAACACTTAAACATTGTAAATTTTTAAATCAATTTCTTATTAACTGTAGAAAAATATAACATTATCATTGCTATCATCGTATGAAAGTAGCAAAAAACTGAATGATAGCTTAATATCACAAGAAAAAAACATATTATCATAAGATAAGGCGTATTATAATTAGTCATAAATCGATACTATCATACAAATTTTATCCATAATTAGCAAAATTGCAATAATCATACTAACACAAATTAAAATTTTCATAAATTATCCAAATTACTAATGCTTTTAGAAAAAATTGAAAGTTAACAATTTCAAAATGTACCAGTAAGACCCGGTAATGTTAATGATGATGATGGCTGGCCGTATTCGACATCCGTTTCGGAATTTGGTGATGATGACATGGATTCACTTGGTACCGAATGCTGTACATAAGTTTGCATTTGATACTGTCCGTAAGGTGAACATCTTTCCGAATTCCATGCTTCATTCTGTTGTTGTTGTTGTTGTTGCTGTTGTTGTTGATGGTGATGATGATGATGGTGATGATGATGAGTAAATTGTGAAATTAATGAACGGTTGTTGCATAAACAATCGATGCTAGATGGCATTTGTCGTGATATCGTATTTTCCGCACTCATTCCAATCATTGAATCCTTATCATCTTTAAAAAAAAGAACAAATTACCTTTTTTTTCTTTAATTAATTAATTCTAATTTTAGTTGCTTGAATTTTTTTTAAATGAAATATGCAATCTTTTGTATGGAACATTAATTGGTAATAATTATTTCAAATGAAGCAAATTCATTTTTATAAAAAAAAGAAAAAAAAATTACTGATTACACATACTGATATTAAGGGTTGCTGTATGATTCGATAAATTTAGCTGACATGTATCATAAAACTCTGCATTAACAGTGCTTACTGATGGCATATCATCAAAATCATTAACCCTGTCTGTTACTGCTGATCCGAAATCTGTAATATTGCTAATTTGTCTTCTAAAATTTACAATTTTATTGCATTAATAAATTTGAAACTTAGTCTGAATTGAAATTTACATATGCATTCATTCATATGTTTACTTTCAATTCAATTAAGTAATATTTCCGAGTGACATATTTAGTACTATTGAGAAAAATTATAGAAGATTAACTAATCTCATTCTTTTTATTTTTTGAAAACGTTTCAAATTTGGTAGTAATTAAATCATTTTGTTTAGCTAATCATTTGCTAAAGTTAATGATGGTTCTTCTAAATATTAGTCAAATAATACATATCATTTCATATTCGAATACTATTCTGGTCAATCAATAATTGCCAGTCATATAGCAACATGATCATTTCCCAATCATTCAAAAATAAGCATCCGTATAAGACGGTAGTATCGAAAATATCGTTTTCTATGATTGAGAGATTTCATTCTGTTTTGTTTTCATATAACCTAATCTTATTTTAATATTGACATTGATAAAATTTTATAAGCATATATAAAAGAAAAATAAATAGCACATCCTTTTTCTGCTTTAATGATATATGAATAAGGCTAAAAATTTTACATTTTAATAAAAGAATGAAATAAATAGGAAAAAGAAGCATTTGGTAGAAAGGATGAAAATTTTTGAGAAAAATCTCATTTCAAATTTCTGAAATTCTTTATTATTTCACTTCAGGCTATTGAAATTTCAATTTCATTTGAAAATAAAGTTCTATACGTTTTGAAATTTTGAATTATTGCTCATATCAAATTCTTACCTAAACATGGGTTTTTTTTTTTTTTTTAAAAAAAAAAGAATAATTTAGATATATCAATTTTTGCTATTGTGAAGAAAAATTTTTTACAGTTAAACATAAAGCAAACAAAAAAACAACACGAAAATAGAAGTAGCCATACAATGTTATAGTTGTATAATGTTGGTTTTTGTGAAGTCGAAATGGAATATTCTATAGTATTGAAGAATTGCATCACACATATACACATACACAAACATACACAAACAAACATACACACATACATACATATACATACATACATATACACACACATACACACACATACATACACATACACATACATACATACGCATACAAACACATACGCACATATCCACAAACATACATACACATTCAGAAAACGTAAGCAAACAACAATCTCATCATGTGGCATCGAGATTGCCAGAAAGGTAGGTAATTAGGGTTTTGACATTGATTGGGTCGCGTGTCCCCTCATTTTAACAATCATTTTCAAGGTTTTCAGTCCTTTCCTCTCACTATTTCACCGCTCACCCTGTTCGCGGTACCTCATTCCACCAAAATCCATTGAAAAATATAGAACAACAGGTCTTTTCTTGGAATCTAAACCACTAGGAGCAATAGCAATCAAAGTCATCTCATCCACTGTCATCATATCCCACTTCACTTCCACTCAAACACTAATTGAGGTCATCCGTTGTATCCTCTCTTCACCCTTACCTTTCCCTTTTTCTATCCCTTTTACAAACAACAACAACAACAACAACAACAACAACAAAAACA